AACTTTGGTTCAATAATTCAAAAATGCCTAATAATGTTTTTACTGTCCATCCATTTTTTTTTTACTGCTATCATGGGGCGGAAACAGCCCGTGTAAGCCCAGAGGGCGATAGGTGGGGAACATCCCAGACAAGCTGGCAGTCCATCACAGGGTTAACACAGAGAGAAACACACCTACACCCAATTAAGAATCATCAGTTAGTCTTTGGACTGTGGGAGGATAATGCATCACCCAGGGGAAACCCATATAGCTTAACTCCACAGGTTGGCAGCACACGGGGGCAACAGATGCGTCCTCTCTTTTTGATGGTTGTGTTTAATCTGGGCAGATACATATATTCAAATTTAGGTCATTCACTTTGTCATTTCCAAAATGTTGTTCCCTCTCTGCATAAATCACCTTTAAAAGCAGAATTTTTGCTCCACACTGGTCGGCTTTTATTTTGTAGACCGCATTTATTATTTTCTTTTAAAATTTATTTTCCATAGACAACATGCTCATAGAACTACTTAGACCATAACATAAGCAAGGGCATGAGTCATATGCTTTGGTTTGCTCTGAGAACAATTAGCTTTTAGGTTTCCCTAAGTTTTGTGGAGAGAAATAAAAGCAGCAGCTTATAAATCTGATCTGTGCTGTGATTTTCTGTGCTGATGATCCATCTGAAGAAACTTTTCAAAATGCCATTTTTAGAACTTACACTGTCATACAACTTCAGCAGCAAATAACTACTTTGGTAAATCAAATTAGTTCTTTGTATAATAAAGAGAAGTGATGCAAATGTGACCTGGATAACGCAAAACAAGTAGAAGCTGTCCTCAATCAGCCAAAATTCCCTGGAAGCAACACTGACGCCGCCTGCCTATAATGTCACAGGAGACTATTAGGATAAAAATGTTCAAGAAAAGCAGCTGTCAGAAGTCACACCTGCAGAGCTGTTTTCTTTCTGACTAAATGCTGCTGTCTGAGGTTTCCTCTCTGGGCGTTTTAACCTTTTAAGCCATCTAGAACCCAAGAAGAGCATCTAGCTCCGGGCTCACACCTGCGCTCCAACAGAGAGTCAGGAAAACAACACCAGCAGGGGCCCATAATCAAAACACACATAAAAACAACCACAAACTCCGGGCGTCCATTAACACACTGTACGTCAAAATTCAGAGGGCTTCATTCAACTGAAAGAAGTCACGCTGTCAAGTTTTGGATACAGACGTCAGGGTAAAACTGCACACAGCGCCCATCGCAGCAACTGTGATCTCAAACAGGTAGGCGGGGACTTCCCAGCCAGCCTCACCATTTCACCATCACGTTTCTTGCTGCACTCTGGCAACAGTGTTACCATGGCAGCCATGGAAACAGAGAAGATTTTTCCCCCACACAGTCCCACAGGAATTTTATCTGCCAAAGCCATTCTTTCCATCTTCTTCTCAGTGTCCCCATTTCTTCCTTTTCTTTCATTTATCCAATGAAATACTTTATCCCAGCACAGTGTGGCCTGCATACATTGCCATGAGATGATAGCGCCTTAACTTTTACAGAAAAAATAATTTGCTTGACGTTATTATGAACATGTCAGTCTTACCCCCCTTCATTTCATTATTAATTGCCAGTCACAATTATTTGTGTTACGTTTTTCTGCCTGTCTAATTGCTTTCCACATGCCTGCATAAATTATACCGGTCATTTACCATTTCTTTTTACATTTCACGTTTTTATTTTGATTTATATGCCTTTGTCAATGGATGCACCTTTAATTAGTACTCTGAAGCACAGAAGACAGGAAAAACAGCAGCACAATAGATGGCACTTCTGCGTTCCTTGTTAAGAACATGCTCACTTGCTGTCCTGATTCAAAGGACCCTTGTTATCCATCCTTCTCTTTCCAGCCATGCCTAATGATGGTGCTCAGGCTCAACACCCTCCCCGTTTGTTGTTCCTCTTAAGAGGTGTAGCAATTCTTCACGTTATAGATTGAATGCATATAAACATACTTCTATTGCTCTCTGAGGTCACCTCTGTATTCAGCGCAGCATGTAGCATCTTCAGCAAATGTGTGTCTCTCCTCACTTTCCAATTTCAAATACTAAAGTGTGAAATAACTTGGCAGTGGACCAGGTCCATATTTTACCCCATATTTCGGTGCACTATAGGATACATAACCTCAAAGCGACACTCTGCCTCAGAAAACAATGTGGAGCAACATATTTTAAAAAAACTTAAAACAAAAACCAATTTTAAAAAAATCCCAAGAGCCTCTTCAAAACAAGATAACAGGTCATATTTAACTAATTCAACAGTATCCTCATGTTCCGTCAAATACATTATATTGCCAAAAGTATTCAATCGTCTTTTGAACTTGACTGACACTGCGTTCTTAAGTCATAGGGTTTAATAAGATGTTGGCTGACCCTTTGTAGTTAAAACAGCTTCAACTCTTCTGCGAAGGCTTTCCACAGGGTTTAGGAGTGTGTCTATGGGGTTTTTCAGTGTTCTTCTACAAGTGCATTTGTGAGGTCAAACACTGATGTTGGATGAAAAGGCCTGGCTTGCAGTTTCCACTCTAACTCATCCCAAAGTTATTTTCTCAGGTTGAGGCCAGGACTGTGCAGGCCAGTCAATTTTTCCCACACCAAATTCGTTCATCCATGTCTTTATGGACATTGCTTTGTGCAGCGGTGCAGAGTCATGCTGGAACAGGAAGGGGCCATCCCCAAACTGTTCCCACAAAGTTAGGAGCATGAAATTGTCCAAAATGTCTTGGTATGCTGAAGCACTAAGAGTTCCTTTCACTGCAACTAAGGGCCCTGCCCAAGTCCTAAAGAACAAGCTTACACTATAACCCTACCTCCACCAAACTTTACACTTGTCACAGTGTCGACTTCTCCATCAGGTTGCCATCACGTCTGCTCCAGAGTCCAGTGGCGGCATGCTTTACGCTCTGCATTGCACTTGATGATGTAAGGCTTGGATACAGCGGCTCAGCCATGGAAACCTATTCCATAAAGCTCTATATGAACTGTTCTTGAGCAAATCTGAAGGCCACATGAAGTTTGGAGGTCTGTAGCAATTGACTCTGCAGAAAGTCGGTGACCTCTGCACATTATGCGTCTCAGCATCGCCTAACCTTGCTGAGGTGTAGTGTATATATTGTGTGTGCTTATATTAAACATAACCAAAGCCCGAAATACTGAGGTCAGCTTATATATGCTCAATCCCTGGGAGCCAAAAGCTGAATTTTTATACTAAACACTTTAAACACTCTCTTCCAAATTTTTTTTCTACTCTCAGTTCTGTTTGATGCACATATGAACCAGCTATGGCTATGAGCAATGCAACCCATCCCACATGCTGTTCAAACCTTCAATTTCAGAAAGTTGCCTCAAAGGGAAATGTGTCCTTAAAGGGGGAGAAGCTAAAACAGCTTGTTTCAGACAGTGGATAAATGGAGGGGTTGCACCAAGGCCCAGCATAAGAGAAAGGATTATTTCAAACTTTTATCATGAAATGTTGTTGAAGCAGAGGCCACGGATAAAAGTGTGAAGCTGGAAGTGATTAAAGCTTCATGTTTAGTTTCCTAATGCGTGCCACCACATAAACATGCAGAGGATGCCTGTCCTCCTGCAATAAATCCACAAACCCCATTAACGTCTTCATCATTTCCTCCTGCCTGGCAGCTCCATCTTCAACTTCCTTTAACAAATATATCCACTATCCCTCCTTCAACATCCAAACCATCTCAATCTTGTGTCTTTTTAATTCTGGCTCCAAACTCCTCAACCTGAGTGGTCCCTCTGATGCCACACTCATGTGTAATTTTGTCCATCCCAATGAAAATCAAAGAAACTTCAGCTCTGCCTCCTGTCTTTTTGTTATTGCCAACCTCCCCAAACCACACATAATAGGCAGGTCTCACCAACATCTTCCTTTTCACTCACGCTGTGACCCTTCTGTCACAAACCGCCCCCGACACTCATCTCCACCCTGCCCGCACTCTCTTCTTCACCTCTCTTGCACACTGTTGCTTTGGATGTTTTGACCCAGGTATTTAAACTCATCCACGTTCACTTCCTCTGCTTCTTGCATCTTCTGAGCTTTATTGCAACTAATCTATTATCATATTTGGAAATTATATTTAAACCACAATGATATGTCAAATTTAAAATCATGGCTACATAAGACAAACATTTTAAGAGAAAAAAAACCAAACACTTAGCCCTCTCAGTTAACTGTGTTTCTTTATCTCACACAACAGAATCATAACCTCACTGGTTACTAGATACAAGCAACTACTAAAAATAGGCAGCCTCAAGATAGCAAAGACTATAACAGCTAGCTGTGTCTAAACATCCGCACAGATGAATGAGGTTATAGTTTGTCCTGCATCGAAACCTGTCTAGCTCACTACGGAGAACAGAGTAGCACTTACATCTGCCTTATAAACATTTGGGAAAGGGAACAAGAGAGAAGCTATGTGCTACTACTTCTAAAAACTAATGACTATGCTTGTAATATATCCCCAGAAAGACAAAGCTATTCACTTAGATGCCAAATATGGCTAATGCTGTTAACATTTGTAAGAATTATTGAAAAGCCAACGCTAACACTTGGTCCAACATAATCTCTATATTAGCATGCAAACATACTTGCCGAGTCGACTGATCACAGCTGTGTCAGTGTTTTAGAATTAAACAGGACTTATAGAAAAATTACCATACATGAAAGCACTCTCACTCTTGCTCTCAAAATGCACACCAGTAACGATTTCTGTTGCACGGGTGCTTTTAAATCCTGCCTCCAGTTGATTTTAATCACAACGAAAACACACTGAATAAAGATGAAATGAAAACAAGTGATGCCACACTTAATATTCCGTGCCATGTGGGAAATGTTTAAATGCAGCGAAAGCATTGTTGGTATTTCTCTGTGGTGCACAAAAAGAAATGGTGTGGAAATATGAGACGAAAAACACAGGAAACAATTACAGAAGAAGTCAAAATACTCACACACTGTAAGCTATCTCATTCTGCCAAAACAAGAATCATTCACCTTGGAGAGGGTGATTCCTGAGACTGTGCAGGCACAGTCTAATAAACACACACACTCACATGCAGACTGATTAGAAGGACAACTGTTTGCTCACCCGAGGCGGAAGGAAGGGCTGTTATACAGCTAAGCTATCACTCTTTCACAAGATTCTCAGAAGTCTCTAGAAAATTGCCCCCTAATATTTTATATGTAATTCCATTATCATGTGCTGTTTTTAGCACTACACATAAAACGGGTACAAGAATCGCTAATTATTAATCCCCTGCTGACTGTCTTGTTTCGTCTGTATTGTGTGCAGACAGTTTGACCTCTAACACAGCACCTGTCAAAATGCAGACTAGAATTTGAACACCACTGAGTACACTGTTAGGCAACTCTGTGCTTTTTTATGTGTTTAAAGTGGCTTTCAGAAGGTCTGCACACAGAGATGAACCCCACAGAGTATAATTCATCCACTTGTTGCTGAAAAATAAAATGATCAAGGACATGTAAACAGGCTTAAACACCTAGCAGTAAGATCACTGGAGTTCTACATTCAGAAGTTATTGGTGAGAAAAAACAATCAAAGACCCACAAACCCAACACACAGACATGTGAAAACTGAGCCTTTAATCTTAAAGGACAGATTCAGGCTTGGCTGTCATTCATGAGGAATGAAAATCTTTTATCATATTATGATTTGTGCTTTTATTTTTATTTTTTCATATCCACATTAGCCGGGAAGAGGAAAAAATCAGCTAATGAAGATTAAGTGAAAAGAAATGTCACTTTGAGATGAATATCTAAAGCCCGGCATATAATCTACACATATGCATGTAATACATTTATACATTAGAAAGGCAGAGTGCATCAGTGGTTATTAATCCTTTTACTTTAATGCCACAGCTGCTTCAGATGAGCCTTTCAGTATAAGTCTTCATTATGTGTTCTTTTGAAATGATAATAAGCAGTCTTATTTTAAAGTGGCTGGATTTTCTTGTAATGGTGTTTGTAAAATATAGATGAGAAAAGGAATAACGTTGGAATACTTAAAGTATGAATAAATTAAACCAGAATAAAATACTCAGGTTTTAAGTTTAAAGGTACTCTCCCTGGTGGGCAGGAGGGACAATTATATTTCTATAGGGTTGATACCCCCCCTGTGCCCCCCTTTTGGATCTGCCCCTGCTTGGGCACATTTTAACAGCACTTAATATAGTATTTAAATAACTATAGCCAACATCAGTACATTAAATGTCAGTCACGCCTACATAAGCACATAATAACTAAGGTCTCTTCCTCTTCAAAGACAGTTTAGCTAAGTGCTTGCTCATAAGGGATTGTCTTATCGTTGGGGTTTTCGCTCTAATATTGCAGCTCTTTAACTTACAATATAAAGCTCCTTGCTGTTTAATTCAATTGAAACAACAGGATTGAGTCACCAAAAGACAGCAATTTTACCTAGAGGGGTTTGTCAGACAGAAAGAAAAAAAAATAACAACACATCCATTTCATGTGTCATCCCCGAAGGTAGTGATGTCTCAGCCTGGTCACCTCTATAAAAAATGTCAGGCTACAACTCTGCCCGGAGTTACTGATGTCCATGCTCTGTTTCAAATTAGAGCTTAAACTACAAGCACTTGAAGCGGTAGCAGTTGAGTATTTCAAAAGTGTATCCTCTTTCTTATGGATGTCTATTTTTAACTTTTTGCACGCCTATTTTAATATGTAGTTCACCATGTAGATGTATCGGGCCAAAGCGCTGACACTTTATCATGGCTGCTAGTTAGTGATGTGCGACACCACTGATTTCCTTTCCGATCCGATACCAAGTAAAATTCAGAGTGGTATTGACGATACTGATCCGATAGCGATACTCTGTACAAAAACTTAATATTTCATTGTATTTGTATATAATTGTATTATGTAATCATAATAATATAGCTTCATAATGATTACAGGACATCAGACTACTTGTTCATATTGCTTAATAATGTAGAATTATCATGTAGAAATTTTAAAAAAAAACGGTCATATGACTCACATGACTTCGTTCACGCTCAGCCATTGTTGTGAGTGCGCACGCCAGGGGCTGCGACACATTTATACATTTATATTTTGCATATGACTGTGAAAGGCGTAAGAGGAAGTAGTTCCTTCCAATTTAGACGATCCGAATGATATAGTTTCTTTCCACGGTGTTTCTGTTAATGAAAAACTACAAATTTACCCCAAAGTACTAAAATATCTATATTTTAATATGAGAGTCAATTCTAGAACATAAATTACTGGTATCGGAAGAATCGATATTTCAATATCGATCCGCACACCAGTACTGCTAGTTACTCTGTTATTGTGGATATATATACAGTCACATTACTCTGTTTATTTTTAAATTTTCTAAGCATTAGTTTAAACATTAAAGTACTGTTTTGTAACTGTGAAAGTATCCACTGGGGTACAGTTACCCGCTTGATGGCAAACATGAGGCCTATATATTTAGTCTTTAAATTTATTTAGTTCAGCCTCACTGGGAAAGTCTATGCCAAGGTGTTGGAAAAGACAGTTCGTCCGTTAGTCGAACCTCGGATAAAGGAGGAACAATGCAGATTTTGTCCTGGTCATGAAATACTGGACCAGATCTTTACCCTTTCAAGAATACTTGAGGGTGTATGGGAGTTTGCCCAACAGTCCACATGTGTTTTGTGGACTTGGAGAAGGCATTTGACCGTATACCTCGGAGTGTCCTGTAGGAGGTGCTCCGGGCCCCAATCGGGTGTTTGGCCCATTGCTACGGGCCATTCGATCCTTATACAACAGTTGCAAGAGCTTGCCGAAAGTAGAGCAGGGCAATATGACCAAAAATATTTATCACGATATACATTTGAAAATTTGCGATAACGATATAACTGACGATATAATTGACACTAGACAAAATACTTTACAACTCCACAACTTTATTAGTGCAAAAAAAAAACCATCAACGTATTTTCACTTAAACTGTTTTTTATGTGCATTAAAATTATATAAAGATTTAACAGTGCAAATGCAAATTCCTTGCTGACAGTTTAACCAAAACGCATTTCCAGTGGAAATTGGCCGACATATCCTCAGCATAACCATGTATAATATCCACAAAACGTAAAAAGAGGTTATACTGTCATGCGCCGCGGCGCGCGCACAAAAGGATCCAAACGCAGACTCAAGCGCTAGCAGAAAATGACACTTTATTATAACAACAAAAGGCGAACCGGGAAAATCACGGACCATGACATATACACACACACAATACCGTAATACTATGCTGAAGCACAGTACATATCACTCCGCGAGGCTCCTGACTATGGTAGCCGTAATGCTCTGACAATCCATCAAGCGGTGCAGGTTCGTAGCTTAGCAAAGTCGTACTAAAACATTTGACAGATTTTCAAGTGCCGTGTACCACATAAAATCATTTCAAGGTCAGAAAACATAACCAGAATTCATACATAAGGCACACGGGATTATAAGGGGCACTGTCAATTTTCAGAAAAATCAAAGGATTGATTTTAAGTGTGCCGTATTTTCCAATAAACACTGTAATAACGACGGCCCGATAGCATGCGCTACCAAAAATAGTGCTTTGTTGTGTATCTGACGGACGAAAGCTAAACCAGTTCCACACCACTGAAGTTGCAGCATTTTTACAAACCAATTCTGGTTCATCTGTTTCATTCAACGATCCGCTTTCTCCCTTCTCATTCTCTGTCGCTGGCACGCTTTTTCCACCATGTGCGTATGAAAACAAAGGCACTGCGCATGCGCGTTTTACCCATATTCTATCGCAATATTTCATTTTCTTATCGTTGCCCAACATTATACCGGTATTACCGTGAACGGTATGATATGGCCCAGCCCTAGTCAAAAGCAATAAGTTGGACTTGTTCCTCGTGGGTGATGGGCTTTGCCAGGAGTGCCCTTTGTCCCCGATTCTGTTCATAATTTTTATGTACAGAATTTCTAGGCACAGCCAAGTGACAGAAGGCTTTCACTTCAGTGGTCTCAGAATCTCATCTCTCCTTTTCATGGATGATGTGGTTCTGTTGGCTTAATCAGGCGATGGCCTCCAGCTCTCACCGGAATGGCTCGCAGCAGAGTGTGAAGCAGTGGAAATGAGAATCAGCACCTCCAAATGTGAGGCCATGGTCCTCAGCTGAAAAAGGGTGGTGTGCCCACTCCGGGTCGAGGACAAGGTTTTGCCCCAAGTGGGGGAGGTTAAGTATCTTGGGATCTTGTTCATGAGTGACGGAAGAAGGAAGCGAGAGATCGACAGACGGATTGGTGCTGCCTCCTGGGCGCCTCCTGGGTGAGGTGTTCCGGGCATGTCCCACTGGGAGGAGGCCCCGGGGCAGACCCAGGACACGCTGAAGAAATTATATCTCTCGGCTGGCCTGGGAACGCCTTGGTGTTCCCCCAGGACAAGCTGGAGGAGGTGGCTGGGGAGAGGGAGGTCTGGGCTTCTCTGTTTAGGCTGCTGCCCCCGCGTCCCGGGCCCGGATAAGTGTAAGAAGATGGATTGATGGAATTTATTTAGTTGTATCTTTAAATTATTATTTCTCAAACATTAAGAAGAAGCAAAAAGGAAGGAAGAGCCAATGTAAAAATGGCAGTGCCATGTTTGAGATATTATTTATATTTAATATTTATATTAATTATATTTGCATGAGGTATTTTAGAAAGACATATACTATGGCGGCAAATACGCACCACTGTACGTATCGTTCCTTGCACACATGCATTGTTCTGCACCCTTTAAATGATTTATGCACCCTGATACTTCTCAAAATTAGTTATTATATAACTGTTATTTGAAAAGAATGATATTATCCAGTGTTATGCAAAAGCATTCATGTGCGTTATAACTGTAAGTGGAGAGCACAGCTGAGTCTTTGAGATGACGTCTGATACGGCCTTTTCCACCAGTGTCATTAAGATGGAGCATACAGATAATCAGTCACACTGATTATGTTAGTAGTGACCTCACTCTTTCAGATGACTGGTCTGAATCAATTTCAAGATTCCCAATAGTCTTTTAGAGCCTGAATATAGAGCACTTTTGGCTTTTTTTTCTACTGAAAATCAACAACACAACAAATAAACTTTAACTAAGCTATTCCTGAAATCATGCTAAACAGAATGTAAAAACTCCTGTGAAAATCTGAAGCTTTTTTTTGTTTCATATCATCGTAAACTGAATTTTTGGGGTTGCAAACAGCAAAACATTCGATGTCACCTTGAACTCTGCAATCAGTTGAGAAAGATTGAGACATATTAATCAATACTAAGCATAGCTTTTTGTTGCAGTCTTATTATCAAAATATTTTTGACATCGTTTTCAGGCATCCAGTTTTGAATATTACAGATTAATTACACATTTTCATTTATCTGAGAATCATAACAATTTTCCTCCTGAGTTTGCCTCCTCTTCTTTTCAGTGCTGTACTGTTGAGCTCTGCAATTTGCTCAATTGTTTTATGCCAAACCATGGTGAATGGTGTCCTGTTATGCTGTCTTCAAGAAACACTTACATTGTTATGCTATAAACATTTTTTTCCAATTCCTCTCTCCTGTCTGCAGACACAAGATGAGAATTTGTCTCGCCTCCTTGAAGTGGTTCCCTCATTTTACTGTCACTGCTGCCCTGCATTTATCACCTGTCTATTCTCTCACTCCTAACCCTTTCTTCCTCTATTTCTTTGTCAGCCAGCCTTGGCCCAGCTGCTGTTATATATATATATATATATATATA